AGAGCTGGGTTCGAGCTGAATGAAACTTAGGTGGACGAGGTATATCCTCTTAAAATTACATTCCTTCAGCTTCTCAGGTGCTTGAGTTATCAATTTGCACGAAAAAAATTTTGGCGGACTCGTACGCGGCTACGACGCTTACCCGGGGGCTGGGTTTGAGCCCACTAATACCCGCTTGGGTGGGGAACACTACCGCAGGATTTCAGCCTTCTAGCTTCTCAGATCCCCGAGTTACGAACTTACCCGAGAAAAATTTTGGCGGGCTCATACGCGGCTGCCACGCTTACCCAGGGGCTGGGTTTGAGCCCACTAATACCCGCTTGGGCGGGGAACACTATCCCATGATTCCAGCCTTCTAGCTTCTCAGATCCCCGAGTTATGAGTTATGAAGTGATCCCAAAAAACGTTGGCGGGCCCGTACGAGGGTACCACGCGGATTTTGGCGCCCATTTTGGGGATTGGAGCCAGCGCACGCATGTAGATTAAGTTCCCGAAATTTCAGCCCCGCAGTCTTTATAGGTCTTGAGATGAAAGTACAGACGCACACACAGACAGACAACCTCTCGTCAGTATGCGTTTTTCGCATTGCGTTGCTGCAAAAAAACGCATAAAAATTATTGATGTACATAATTTGCCGAACTATTTTCATGATGTGGACCTGTTTGTAGGGGGTTAAGTGAGAGCTACAAAATGATTGTCTGAGTAGTGTTGCTCAGAGGAGGAAGTAGAATGCATGGAATGGAATGGGGAAAAGTTGATGATGGAAGGGGGGGGGGGCTGTTCTGTTTAACCACTTCTACTCATCATTATTGTAAATATTTATTTGCTGTTAAATGCTAAGAAACTTTTATTAGACTTGAACAGAAAACGCTATTTCAAGAGTAGATATTAGCCATCAGTGAAGTTTATTTATTTCTTGTTATGGAGTATCTTTACGCATTTTTAGTTTATTGGAATATAACGATTTGCGTGAACGGCTCTCGTGTGTCTGTACGTTTCTAGAGTTCCGCCGAATCCTTGATGACTTGGAACAACGAGTTATGCGAATGCTTCATACAACACAGTCTGGATTTGCCGGTTAACATTTCTTTAAATTTATACTCTTTCTGAAAAATTTAAACATAAAATTGCTTCCTTTACAAAACATAGCTATTTCTGCAAGGGTGTGATTTAACTCATATTATCATAATTTCGATAGTCTTTCATTCTCTACCTTATTTTTTCGCGCTTCCATCGTGTTAGCAGTATCTGTTACTCTTCTACTGACCAAATTAATCTTTGATATCCAGAAAGTGCAACTGCTTTTTACGCACGGTGAAACAGGAAGTGTACTGGACTTCCAGTCGAAGCGTTATCAAGTTACTTTGTGTTCTCCCTCATACTATGGGCCCAGATGGAAGGGATGGATTTTTGTCAGTATTTCCGTTTGATCTCTCACCCATCCTGTTGGCTCCTTCCACTACTTTTCGTGAGTGCAGCACGTCATAAGCGATTTCTCTTGCCAATAATATTTTAGCGAATAATTCTGAAGCATTTTGAAGATTAATTTTTTGTTTTGGAATGGCTTTTCATTGTAGTAAATTTGGTATTGCATAAGTTGCAGAAGTACGTGAAGCAGCGCTATCCTCCTCGCCTTCCTCCATGCCTCATTGGGTTTGCAAACCGTATTACCGTCCGATGCGGGACAGCTCTACGGTCTCGGATTC